GCTAAATCTAAACCAAAAATAAAGAACAGAAATTGGTAAATGTAAAACTCCTGAGTGCGGGGGACACCTGAGGAATAATTGTAATAATCAAGAACAAAAATCAGAATTAAAATGGTGGGTAAAATTTAATATATTAACCCCTTAGGCATAATTGTAACACACAAGAACAAAAATCAGGACTAAAATGGTGGGCTAAATCTAGTATTTTGACCCTAGTAAGTGAAACAATACTTAAACAGTAAGTCCACAAAAATGATATTCAATAAAACTTTTCGATTACTTAAAGAGACACTATAGTCACCTGAACAACTTTAGCTTAATGAAGCAGTTTTGGTGTATAGAATATGCCCCTGCAGCCTCACTGCTCAATCCTCTGCCATTTAGGAGTTAAATCCCTTTGTTTATGAACCCTAGTCACACCTCCCTGCATGTGACTTGCACAGCCTTCCATAAACACTTCCTGTAAAGAGAGCCCTATTTAGGCTTTCTTTATTGCAAGTTCTGTTTAATTAAGATTTTCTTATCCCCTGCTATGTTAATAGCTTGCTAGACCCTGCAAGAGCCTCCTGTATGTGATTAAAGTTCAATTTAGAGATTGAGATACAATTATTTAAGGTAAATTACATCTGTTTGAAAGTGAAACCTGTTTTTTTTCCCATGCAGGCTCTGACAATCATAGCCAGGGGAGGTGTGGCTAGGGCTGCATAAACAGAAACAAAGTGATTTAACTCCTAAATGACAGTGAATTGAGCAGTGAAATTGCAAGGGAATGATCTATACACTAAAACTGCTTTATTTAGCTAAAGTAATTTAGGTGTTCCTTTAAGATAAAGATTAAATTGCTGGCTAGTGTAGCTAAATGGTCTCATATACACATGCAAAACCAAAAGCTAACCATGCTTCAAGGAGTAGTAGGGAGGAAACGCATGGATTGGATCACATTGTAACACCAATGCCAATGCCAAGTGCTACAAAATCAAAATGTACTGCATATACTAGTGGAGTCATGTAACTTAGTTGCAGATTTATGTTAGATAGAGGAGTGAAGGTTACACAGAGAAGCTATGCTGCTAGCTCTCACCCTACTGTGCCTTCATGGGCACATGTTAAACAAAATGGGTATTTTTTTTTAGTATTTTTTAACTCCCCTCCCCAGCATAAAGCGATACAGCAAGTGTAGTGGTCTAAAGAGATCGTAGACGAGCAGTGTACTTTTAATAACAGTATAATTACTTAGTAGTTACTTAGTAGAGTCAATATACTAGATTTCACCCACCATTTTACTCCTGATTATTCTTGCTTGTTACTAAATCTAATCTTGAAAGTGCTGCAGATCTCTTGTCTGCAACTTTTTCCGGCCCTCCCCTTTCAATCCCACCATGACTTTCTATGGCTGTCCAATCACAGACTTCCCAAAGCAGCTCAATGAGACGTCTTTGCAAAGCAGGTGCTCTGAGCATCAGAGGTGTTACCAGGTTGAAATTTGAACTTTTTGTAAAAAAAAAAAATAGGACACGCTATTTATGCAGCTAAAGTGCTTTAGGAGTCAACAGTGTATCTTTAAATAAACCTATATGTCCAGTGTCCCCAGTGACAGGGTATCATTTAACCTATAGAATACTGATAGTCTTCATAACAATTTGTCCCCCCAGATATTTTTTGGTTCCTACATCAATGCTCCAGGTGTCAGTTTGGTAGGCTGGGAAATACCCAGAGGTAAGTTATAGCTATGGTTACCAGATCCACCATGTTTTAAGGGACACATAAAATGTTATCATAAATGCATGAAAAGGGCTGCCCTGTGGCATGTATAATGCATAGCCTGTAGGATTCTTTAGTGCCTAATTGCATGATCCTAAACACATTCTTCTGAATTCTCCATACAACAGGGCTACCCTTTTCATGTGCTGCCCATCAATATGTATACGTGATATGTGTCTCTGAAAACATGGTGGATCTTGTAACCCTAATTATAGAGAAAATACAAGCTCACCTACATGATTCTATCCAGTAACAGCCAACCTCACACAGAATATGGGGATAGGATGTGCAAGGGCCCCTCTTAGTTGAGATTTTTGGAGACTCGTGGAAACGACATGTAGCGGAAAGGCAATATTAAATCCCACGATCTCCGCTGGTTAAGAAGGTAATCCACAGTCAAGCGCTGAAAAGTAAGGCAATATCCCAAATCTCCCAGTAACCGGACGAAACACTGTTCTGAGAGTCAACTGAGGCTTTATTCAAAGGCTCCACAATTTATACAATTCCCCATGCAAGGGGTTTCCTGAGTCCTATCCCAGGGGTATTCCAGAGTGGACTACGTGGGGAACTTAAAGTGCAGAGCATTTCTCCCATCAGGCACTGCTGCACGAGAGGGATCCTCCCACTGGAATGTACCGTTAAGTGGATTATCCCTCCGTGCAGCAGAACCGGCAATTTACATTAAAACACACAACTTTTCGAATATTAGGTTGATTTGCACGAATGGACGTTCGGTAGATAGCTGGGGTCTGAGCGCATCATTCGTGAGATTACCGCTCAGATCCCAGCTAAAACAACCGAACGCCGCACGAAAAACATATTCACCAAAACATGCATTCAAAAGACCGATTGGCATATGGGGAATAAAATACCGAACGGCCCAGAACTCCCGAACGGCCTGGAAGTCCAGCGGTGTTCACGCCGTCGAGTAGCCGTTTTTAGTACCACCAAACACCGCTGGGGGAACAAAGGATCCAAGATGGCCGACCGCCACGTGGTCCGTAGTCGAACGACGGCCACCTAGGAGAGCCTCTAATTACCGATTGCAACATTGTTGCAATTGGTTAACAAGCGCCACACGTCTCTTAATGTGTGGGCTATTACAGGGTGGTTTATTCGGTTCACGAACGGCCGCAAAGGTGCCGTTTGTGAAACGAAATGAAATACAGCTATCTGCTTTCGGCAGATAGCCAATACAGGCAATACAATGTTATACAGTCAGCATACATTACACCCAGGGACATACATATCACCACAACCATATAGGCAACCCTTAAAGCCACATTCTCTGTATAATGTCCAAGTGGCTAGGTTTGCCACACGACATTACATGCAGCTCCTCATGTTTTGGTTGTTGGAGTAGGGTGGTGCTGCTGCGGATGACACTTTGTTTAACAGGGGACAACCACACTATTAAAAGGGCCTAAATGATAGCACCCAGGAGACAGGGCAAAAGTAAATGAAGCCACTCACATTTCCCACAATTCACTGAACACTAAGCATTCAGCCCATGAAACTGGGTTTCAATAGCGACGAGCATATAGACTGCCCTGGATGGCGCATGCATGCACACCATCCTTTTTGGGTAGATCATCACTAACGCCATCCCTATGCCATTATTTATCCACACCTTTTTTAGGCAGGTCAAGGGATCTACCCTTTTCTGGGCAATTTGTCCCCTCGTTCAGTCACAGTTATGAAATCTGAGAAGGCAGTTGTCATTACTGATACACCAGCCACATTCCTGGTGATGCCAATAATGGGCAGACTGCACAGGAAGTTGACTTGCCTGTCCACTGAAAGGTGTGTCAGCCTTACAGCCAGCCCCCAATACACAGAACTGAGCAGGGAGCGCTGATGAGACGTTCAACGCTCTGTGCATGTTCCTACACACTGTGCTAGATGCAGGACACCAGGGAACTAAATCAAGATGGCAGGAAAGGATCCTGAAAGTGGGGCAACAAGTCCAACCCATGAGGCCTATCCGTCTGCCCTGAGCCTATAATACAGTCTATGGAGAGGTTTGTCTATACATGGTTAGCATAGCAACGGTGAACATACCTCATATTTGAAGGATTACTAATGAATAATGAATACTTTTATTTACATAGCCACTTAAAAGGAACTCACTTCTAAACACTACCTTAATAAATATAGTTTAGCAGGAAGTGTATTACGTTTCTCTTAGTTTAAATAGAATGCTTTGAGACTATAATTATAATTAAAGGGACACCTCTATGCACCACTTTATCTCATTACTGCAGTTTGGATATTTTAGACTAAATCCTGCCATTCTCTTTTTCAATTCATTACAATTTCCTGTTTAGTGAATAAACCACAGGGTATATTTGGACTGTGAAGCCATTATTTTTGCAGGACATTAGATTGCAGGGTGGGTGTGTTTTACAATCAAGCCCTGTTTCATCTAATTAGCTAATTAACAGCAATCTGGCTGAAGACCTTCACCCTATATATTCTCAGGGACCGGAGCTCCAATAGTATAGTTATCATCCCTAGAGGTAAGAGCTTGTGGTTATTACCAGAATGGGGTCAGAGCTGTCTGCGCTCTAGTATTTCCATCTTGTAATTCTATTTTGTAGTTTATGCAAGTTTAGTGATAGAAAGGATCTAGCAGTGTTACCTAAACTGAGAATTGTTGGAAATACCAAGTGCGTTTAAAGCTGAATTACTGATTTATGTCTAGTTTTAAACTAGTTACTTATGTTGAGTTCCTGACCACTCTTGTGTTGGTGACTATCTGTAGGTCTAAACCCCTCTTTGTTTTAAACTTGTATTTTATTTTTTTATTTGGTATCTATCCATGTTCTGTGCAATGGAATGTGTCTAACTCTCTCAGTGCCTTAAACTGCTTTTTAGAACAGCACAGATTATCCTGGTCTGAAAACTACTGCTAGTGTATCAATGGCTAGAGGGGTGGTGTCATATTTATAATGCAGCAGATATTGATGGTGCAACCCTAAAAGGAGATGCATGTAAACAAAATGTCTGGTACAGAGGACACCATTAATGGGCTGGGTCCCAGTGGGCTATAGAATGACCGCTAACAAATCAGAATGGCTCCTTAGAATCCCTCTGCAAGTCATCCCTTCATAAAACCCACTGCACACTTTGCAGGGCAGCACTCTTCATGTACTTCCCATCTATGTAAAGGGATATACCAAGAAACCTTGGTCCAGAATGTTCTGCTCTAACCCTGACCTCCCATTCTTTCCAGATTATTTTAACCGTTGCTCCTGCTTCTTTATCTGAGTCTGTCTCGGAAATCTCTCCGTCCGAGAAGATATTTCATCTCCACGCTCAAGCTACTGGTGCGTGTCTAAACACACTTCACTCTTGCCGTAAAGATCACGTACTGTAAAATACATCATGGCTGACCGATCCAACTTTTATATGTTTATTTTTTCTACTTGGTGCTAGGGGCAGCACTCTTCATGTAAACTCCAAAGCATGTAACATGTCCATCCAGGAAAACATGACCAAATTAGAACCACAACCAGGTGGCAGTTATGGCAATGTGTTCACTATAGATATTTCTATCAGCTTCTCGTGACTTGTTGCACATTACCCTTTATACTATAGGCATCAAAACCATTAACTTAATGAGTTTTGGTGTATAGATCATACCACTGCAGTCTCACTGCTCAATTCTCTGCCGTGTAGGAGTTAAATCACGGTTTATACAACTGTAGGCATGTATTATGCCCATACTTCCTGTAAAAAGATGTTTACTTTTTACTGCAAATTCTGGCTTAACTTAGAATGTCTCTCCTGCACTGCATATAGCTTGCTAAAGCCTCCTGTGTTAAGTTCAAGTTACAAACCACGCTCAAGCTACATTAGTGGCTAAAAAAGTAGCTTAATAAAGCAGTTTGGTAGAGATCATTCCTTTGCAGTCTCACTGCTCAATTTTCCATTTAGGAGTTATAATGCTTTGTTTATGCAGCCCTAATCACGCCTCCCTACATGTGCCTTGCTAAAGACTTCCTGTAAAGTGTCATCTAATATTTACACTTTATTGCAAATTCTGTTAAACTTGGAATTTATCTTCTACTCTATTGGCTTGCTAGACCTTGGAGTGATTAAAGTTCTCCTTACAGAGCAGGTGATAAAAACTTTTTTAAAGTTGCACCTGACAACATGAAATCACTTTGTTTTAACCCCCTTAAGGACACAACTTCTGGAATAAAAGGGCATCATGACAAATATTTCCATCATGTGTCATTAAGGGGTTAATGCAGGCTGTCAGTCACGATCAAGTGATTTAACTCCTAAATGACAGAATTGAGCAGTGAGACTGCAGAGCCATGTTCTATACACCAAACTTCTGCTTCATTAAGCTAAAGTTGTTTTGGTGACTATAGTGTCCCTTAAAGACCAAACTTCTGGAATAAAAGGGAATCATGAAGTCATGTGTCCTTAAGGGGTTAAACTACAACAAAGACTTGAGCACATTAGACATCAACACACTCCAGATTTCTGTAACTTAGTATATTAAGTATTAGTCTTGTAAGCTTTATCTAGAGTCCAGTGGACCAGAATAGACTGCTTTTTTTTGGTCTGCAGTATGCACTGCTAGAGCAACACTAAATCCTGGAATCCACAGTTGATTAATGAACAGTGTTAAACGCCAAACCCCTAAAGTATATTAGTTTGCTGAAGTGTGTTGTGGAAATAGTCTGCCTCCACCTGGACAAAAGAACTTTAACTTTATCTAAATAAACCTTGCTTCACCCCTTGGCTGTCAGACATCTGGCCATCTTATTTCATGGTTGGCTCAGTGAAGCTAAACTCAAGAGGCAGCAATTGCTCAAAGCACCTGCCTTGACAATATCATTGGGATGTCTAACTTGACAACCAGTCTGGGCAGGTCTAAAATGGGAGGCGTGGAAAGCTGTTAAAGGGACACCGTAGGCACCCAGACCACTTCAGCTAATTGAAGTGGTCTGGGTGCTGTGTTCCTTTTACACTTGGTATAAAACTGCAATGTTAACATTGCAGCTCTAAGTCCTAGATGGCTTCCTGGTTTGAAACAGATCTCTGGTCCAGTATCTGACGCTGAATGTCCTCACGCTGTGCATGAGGACATCCAGTGTCAACTTATTTTTATTTTGATTCCATACTTTCTTATAGGGGGTGTAATACTTGGTTGTCAGAGGGGGTAGCTTTGTCTCAACACCAACGTAAAGGTTTTTAACCTCTTATTTACTGGAGAGCAAAGGTGCCAGGAATACAGCTCTTAAGCAAAGTGCTCACTCCCACTACTGTGGCAGCAGCTAGAGTATAGATACATGTTAAGCACTTAGAACAAAAGTATAATTTTGGATTTAGTTATCTTTGCTTTCTGGGCAGTGGAGTGTTGCTTCAATAAATAGTTGGGCAGCACAATGCCCCCGCCAGAACATCCCAGTCACTACTAAATACTGATTTGCCAGGACAGCCATCTAAGTGACTTCTCCTTGCCCCAATACAGACGGAGCTGGAAGCTCTGATTCCCTCAGCCAATGTGCAAGCCCTGCAGGGATACCTGGCTCTGTGGAGGCAAGGACTCAAACCTTTCTAAAATGGCTTACAAAGTGGTAAAGGGTATTCCTGCACCTTAACCACTGTAATGTGACTTAATGACCATTGTCCTTGGGGTGTTCCGTTACTTACTGCAGAAGACAGGAGTGCAAAATACATGTTATAGGGTCATGTTAAATTAATGGGATATTCTGCCTTCTGCAAAGTCAGGTGTTAAAAATGGCTGTCTAGTCATGCTCATTACTCTGAAACATGCATTGTTGATGGTAGTGATCCAACCAGTCAACTCAAACGTTCGAACCAGGCATTTGTATAAAATCTATGTTCTCCAGACAGTATAATATCACATGAACCTTCTCTGAAATTATCTCTCTTCTGTCATGTTTAGCTACTGAAATCTCTCCTGGCTGACCTGTTTGGAAACCCTGTAGTGTTATCTAAACTGAAATCTAGATATTGCAACACAATGACTAAAGTTGACCTTTTCTAATTAGACTTCCATCTGAGGGGTGGCATTTTCTTTCACATGGTATTGTACATAGGAGTCTATAGTGACTGGAAATGGCAATACTCATGATGCATTAATTTTCTCCATGCCTCCCTCATACAATCTGTCAATATCCCGTCACTCGGTAGAGGACTCTTTAAAAATCACTCAATAGATCTAGGTTGGATTGATGTGGTGCAGAACTCCACTTATGGTTCACTTTAACATCTTGTCCAGTTTACCAGATCTACTACTAAAGATGCATCAAGAGATCTCTGCTGCTGTCCACTTTCTTCTTGAGATTCTGCATCAGAAGAACCGATGGACTCCTCTCCAGCTAGAAGTCCTGGGATCAAGCCTGTTGTGTAATCTTAGTGAGCGATACAATGGACACTGGTACCCAGAGCATCCCAGCAGAGGTCAAGCATACAGGTGAATAGACGGCATCATGCTAAAAATCTCACTAGTAATCTGGCCTTGACATGAAGGTAGAACACCTATAGTGACCAAACGGCTGTACTGTGGCTATTCTCCTGGGTGGGATCTCTGTTCCTGAATAAACTTTTCAGTATCTACACTTCCTGCAAACTGAACAAGAATTTAAGTGTCTGTCTTATAATTAGAGGCATTTCCATAGACCAAAACTTGTTCATGTTAGATGCAAAGGGGTTTATTTTTAATTAAATCCAGTAGTACAAGTGACTAAAGGCATCCCTTTGGCACTTTATTCAAATGGAAATGTCAGTTAAGCTATAGGGAGATTGTTGGCTTCCTACACCTCAGCACAGAGGGAGGACAGGCAGCCTCTTCTAAGCTAAGAATGAACTCTTGGGCAGGTGAGCACCATAAGTCTTGGTAAGTGTTATTTTCCTATACTCACATCCAAATTAAGAAGCCAAACTTGGAGTTGTGGGTTTGTGTAATATACAGGGCTGTCTATAATATGATTAGGACCCTGGGCAATGCATTTTCATGGGCCCTGCCACTGCCTCACCCCCAATTACATCCAACCCACAATCACACTGACAGACGTACTGGCGCGCGCACACACACACTCTAAAACATTCACAGATACATACTGACAGTCACTACACACAAATCTATACTGACACACAGACATACATACATTAACAGATACTGACATATACACAGACAGACTTTAAAACATTCACAGATATATATACTGACATACAAATATATCCTGGCAGACATACTGACACAGACATACATATACTGACTCACACACACTAAAACATTCACAGATACATACTGACACACATTTAGCCACCCTCCAGGTTCTTACCTTTTCCTGGAGGGTGGTTTCCCTGGTCCAGTGGCAGGCTGAGGCAGATAGGAGTTCTCCTCTGGAACTCCCTTCCTCCTCCCGCACGGCCATTATCTCCGGTGAGGGGGAAGTGACATCACTTCCTCCCAACCGGCTGCAGACCTGGAAGAGGGGCCCAGTCGCGCTGTTTAAGCGCCACAGCACCCGACCGGGCCCCTGCTGACACATGCTCCCCGGGTGGCCCTTAGTGCATGGGCCACCTGGGGAGCCTCCTCAGTGTGCGGGAGCCGCACCGTCCGGTCCATAGGGGCTGCGCAAATCGCGGGGCCCACAGAGCAGCTGCTCTGGGCCCGGGGCAGCTGCCCCGCATTAAAGACGGCCCTGGTAATATAGTTTACATGTAGCAGTTGACAACTGTCCATGATTAACCTTGCATAAAGTTTATTAAAGTCTGAAGCCTGATTCTAAAAACATTCTACCGTTGGATCTACTGCTTCTAGTAAAGGTTTTTTCTTCTCCAGTATTCATGCCAACACTGCTTGCTTTCATTGGCCTATTGTATAGCTAATGCATTTTCCAACAAAGATGAATCAACCACATGGGTTGTATTATTAAAAGGAAAAACTTGTGCAAAAAATCCTCAAACCGCAAAGCTGCAATTGCCCAATATATTAGCCTTAATTCATTTTGCCTGAAGAGATGTCACTGATCAGCATTCAAAATGCATTTTCCTATGCACATTAAAGACACTCTCATACACACAAACTTCTCCTTAAACAGGTGTATCCGCATTAATGCCCAGCAAGCTGTGGATGAGTCCCTCCTAATGGCATGTGAACACAGTGGAATTGAATACTCAAAGCTTGGTCTTCCGGAGGAACTGACTATCTGGGTTGATCCATATGAAGTCTGTGGAAGGTGAGTTTCTAGGAATTTGTCAGTGAATGTCAATTGCACTACACAAGTCTCTACCCCTGGCACCTAAGCAAACTTAAGTGTCTGTTTTTAGAATAAAACTTGCTTCTACTATAGACTGCCCATAAAAAGTACATCTGATGGCAAAATGCATCATAAGATTCTCCTAGGGAATCCACTTGTGTTGAACACCTGGTCAACTTAACTGGCTGTGTATTTCTTAGGTACAGGGAAAACTCAAAGTACTTCACCATAGCCATGTTTTCTAAGGAAATCGTAGAATTGGCGGCACCATCTCCCACTGAAAACGAAACATCCGACTACTCATCAGGCAGTGTCTCCTCTGAGCCTTCATCAGAGGATGAGTTAATTGTTGAAGATACAGATGTAAAAGATTCAAATTATGAAGATGCTGAGTCAACAGACCCTGAACCTTCAGATTCCAATCTGATCCAGAATGCTGAGGAAATGCCTGTTCAGACGGAGACTGGTTTGATGGGCGATACTTGGCAATCCACAGTCTGGTCATGTGATGAATCTCTAATAGAAGGTTCAAGGTTCATGTCTTCATGGAAGGACAATGCAGAATTACAAGGAATCTCTTCTGCCTCCTTGGACAGCCTTGGCATGTAGGAGACCCAATGCCCTAATCTGGACTGTCAAACCAGACTTGGTCATATAAAACACTGTTGCACTTCTTAGTTCTAATTGCTAATGTCAACCCTTGAGTCATATACATTGGCACTACTCACTGGAAAGGCCAGGTATGTGGTTGGATTTTCTGAAGTTAATATATTGGCTTGAAAGTTCACATACTAAACCAATGTAAGGAGCAAACTTTTTTTTAACAAAGTAGAGTTCCAGGGTGGTAAGCTTTGATTGCAGAGACTCCAGTTATAAGCAAACTGGAAAAGGTTCTAATATGTCTCTGGCAAACCACTTGGATCAAAGGTACCACCCTAGTACTGTATTAATGGGTAATACCAGACTTGTGCTAAAACTCGTGAAATTACACCTTGTATTGGGTTCTCATGCACAACCCTTGGTGGCTGCATGTTTGCCTTGGCAAGGTGTAAATTGAAGATATTTGTTGTGCATAACTGGTGTGACCATACGTTTTAACTTCAAACAGATTTATAATGTATCAACTGGAACCTCCGCTAAGCTTAATATTGACTATAGTCTAGTTCTGATCCAATCAGCCAACTTTTAAAATTTTTAATTTGGTGTTTTTTTGTGTTTTTTTTTTTAAACCACTGGCCTACTTTTCAGTTTAGGTTTTTGCACTCTTCCCTCTCATTTTGCTTAAAACTGCTGCATTTTCTTACTTCAGGTTAATGGCTAGCTAAAGAGTTAAGAAAATTGTTTAAAGCCGCAGACTGAAACATGCACCTATTTTGCTCTCAACTCCCAGGTTCCGGTAAAGACCTGATATCTTATGTAGGGGTTTCTTCAGGAGTTGGGTTTAACCCCTTAAGGACACATGACATGTCATGATTCCATTGTATTCCAAAATTTGGTCCTTAAGGGGTTAAACTTGGTGCAATTTTATATGCATTTTAACATACAATCTACCTGGACTCTGTCTATGCAGGGTCACGCTAGCTTCAGACTCTTGTTTTAAGAGTCAATGGCTGAGGGGCTGTACTTCTCTATCCTGCCTCTCAAAGCTGGTCGGCCTTGGTTACAATATCCAAATGGGTCTTAAAAGAAAACAATACAACCATTTGGCCTGGTACAGCTCTTGCCAAATCACTTCTTCCTGGCTTAACTTGCCCTAGTGTTGCATGCAAACTTACTCTAGCTGCGAAGAGTTGAGTTGGATAGATCTGTGCAGTTTAAGTTCTAGTTGATTCAAAACCTGTTCTAGGCTTTTATTGAAACTTTTTGTCTGGTTTTATTTTAGATTGTTTCTGCTAATCAGAAATGGGTTACTAGTATCTTGTGACACTTGAAAGTCCCTGCCACATGTGTCAGACTACTAGGGAAGTCAATTTCCCATAATGGCAGCCCTGACTCTGTCTGAGAGCAGACGTAGCATCAGTTTATCTGCTGTGTCCTCAAGGCACTTGTCTACTCATTCCCATGTTTTAAATCTAAAAGTGGTTTTAAATGTGGCCAAATATGGCAACTTGATCTACACAACATTTACTAACTGATGTAGACTATCTGTAATGATTGTATAATGTTGCTCTGTGCAATGCAACTAGATAGTCTGTGTATTGTCATACCTACTGCAGATTAAATCTTTAAATGCAAACTGTCTGGTCTGTCTAGTTAATTGCATCAAGACTTGGGGGTTCTGGCTTCTCCAATTTGAAAGAACTGTCCTATGGACAAATGTAAGATCTGTTCCTAGTGACAAAACATTCCAGGTCACAGGTTGAAGCAACAGTAGTGGTCCTATTTACTGATGCCTTGGGTAAGGAGGACTATGCATTCCCAAAGTCTCTGCCAAAGCTTGTCCAGTTCACGTAACTGTCTTGAAAGTAATCAAACTAAATTGTAAACCAGTAGACTAGGATTTTACTGGCCTATTCTGGTTTCATATCATGTAAACACAAGTTAGCTTGAAATACTATATCAATGAGAAACTGTGTCTGGAAACGCTAAGATTAGTTTTCTTTTTCTAAATATAAACTTACTGTGCATTTGCTGCCTGCTAAAAGCATGATCACAAAACAAACATCTGACTGAACCTAGCATGTGGATAGGAAACCTTGGTAAAATACTGCCCCTCGATCACTGCTGTGAGTGACTAACACCTAGGAGTCTATGGTGTAAGAAGGCAGAATTTCTTGCCAATGTACTAACTTTTTACTAGTGACTTTGGTCAAGCCTAGAATATATGCTAGTCATCAGAAGAATCTTATGGTACTATTTCATGCCCCGGTGCTGGTTCTGTCAGCCTTGTTCATTAACATTGCTTTATGCCTTTGCTAGGTTTCCCATAATTTATCCACTAGACAGCAAATTTTGGTCAACTTGACCAAAAGTACATAACTCTAGGCAAAACAAGCCAGTGGAGAAATTCTACCTCTATAGCTGGGTTACTTCAATTTAGTGACCGGTCTGTATCAGGGACTAGACTGCAGGGGGGAAGAACACCCTTTCAAAGTCCAGGATTTAAGGATTACTCAATTGTGTCTAAGGTGATCTTTGGGTGTAAAAACACTTTAGACACAACCGTGTAATCCCTAAGTCCTGGACAGGTAATGGGTACTGGAGGATTGAGTTGGGAACCCCTACACTAAACAAAAATTTTATTGTATTTTTATTAACTCCTAATCAAACTGGTTTATTTGAATTGTATATTGCAGAAGCCTGACTCAAAGTCAATGTAGTACATCTTTGGCAGGTCCTCCAACAGGATAACATCTGAGTAGGGCCTGCCAGAGAGGTTACATTGACTTTGTGACAAGCTTATGCAATGTATGATCATAGACTGTAACTAAACTCCATATTTCTGCCTAATTAGGTGTTTATAAAAAAAATACAAAACCTGTGACACTTTTTTTTTGAGGTTGCAGTTTGGTGAGTGCACTGTGACTCTGGCCAATATCACTCATCACACCTTGATGAACAGATCAAGGGGAAAGTATGGGCTTACTTTGCCTAGCAGTGATGTTGAATGGTGGTAATTGCAACATTAAAGACCACTTTCTGGTGTGACCAGACCTGCTGCAAGCAGGACAATTGGGTGGTATGGATTTGTTTACCTGATGCTTGAGACGTCAACATTCTCATTCATCAGACCAGGTAAGACTTGGCAGTGAGGTTGTGACTGTCACATCTGAAAAACATTGTAAGGGATGCAAATATCCCCAGACCCTTAGCCTTACCATCTGCTTAAGGTTGAAGGAATCTGCAATCTCTACAAACACTGGTCATTTTAGGCATGTGAATAGTAGTTTTATAACACTTTCCAAATGAAATCAGGAACCCACAAGGCATCTGTAGGGAATATGCATAAAATATCAATGCTTTCAGCTCCTAGAAACCTAACTGTAATTTATGCTTGCAGAGCTTATCGTGACAGATATGCTAGTTCGCCGTGTCAGACCTGAACACACAGGACTTGGGATGGGATTGGGTAATAGGTGTTCAAATTAGAAATGACTTGGTTTTGGGGCCCCTGGGTAACACATGGTAAAGCTTCTAATATCTCACTAAATAGAAATAGCCAGGCTATACTGGTAGAATTTCCCCATTGGCTTGTTTTGCCTAAAACTTTGCAATTTTGGCTCATTTCACTAAAATTTGCAGCCTAGGGGAGAAATGATGGGGAAACCTAGCAAAGGCATAAAGCAAGGTTAATAATGGACCAAACCAGCACTGGGGCATGAAATGGTACCATAAGTCTTGATGACCAGCACTTATATCAAGGGCATATGTAGAGCTCTAGGACACTGGACATAGTGTTAGATTACATGTCAGACTAGGGGAGCAGATCATGCAGAAACTGACCCAGTGTAGGTAACTGGGTACCTTCCGTTGACAGGTAGCTCCACCAGATGCTACAAACTGCCACAGCTTGGTTGGGGTCTCGCCGTCTTCCTCCTAGTCTGGGCCCAAGACAAGGGACCAGCTTCCAGTAGGTAGACCTCTCCTAAATCCATGGAGCAGGAACAAGATCTTACAAGAGATTACTCTGGTTAGTATGTGACTATAGCAATCCCCAAGTGTAGGTAGTTCTCCAATCCCCCAAACATGAGCCAAAACTTCAAGAAGGGTAGAACAAGTCTCTTTAATGAGTGCAAAGGCATTTCTTTTATACACTGTTTCCACCCTTGTGGAACAAAGGACACAAACCAAAACTTTTTTTTTTTTTTTTTTGGTCCGACTCTCCCACATACAGCACACAAGCCCTCCCCTCTGCCTGGTATATAATTAAAGCAGCTAATACAATAACCTAACTACCCACAGGCAGAAAAACACATTTTCCTCAAAGTCCAGAAAACACCCCAAAACATAACACCTCCCCAAAAACTTTACATCCCTGGATAGCTGAATCAGAGCAGGGGTTTAAAACTTTTTTTTGTGGAAGTCTCTTTTGACTGCACACATGACTTCATGCCCGAAACAGTTCCAGAGAATTTGGCTGCGCCCCGGTTTCAATGTTAAAGTCTGTTTAAATAGACAAATGGCAGACGTTTTGGGCAAATGTTAAAGTGCCGTTTGATTTGTCGAACAGTGTTCGACTCCAGTCGAAGTTCTGAGAAGGTAACGTTTCAGCGGTGTTCATGCTGTCGCGTGTCCAACTCGAGTTCCATGAACTCAACGACAAAACACAGCTAAACTTGTTCAACTGCATTAAAATGGCCGCCACAGTGTTTGTATGTCGAACGGCACCCATTCTGGATCTATCCAAAGTGCCATTTTCAAAGTGCAGATCCTTTCCCATAGGATTTAAAGGGGCAAACAGTGTATTAAAACCACATAACCCCAAATAGAGCTTATAGGCCATACATCCCAGGGGCAATAGTCACAGGGCAAGCAGGCCTATCCAAAGCACAGTGACAAAGGTAATTTTGTCAGTGTACAATAATGGCCATCTTCATGATTCCCAACGACCTTATCCTGGTAACTGTCAGATTCCCTTTAGCTTGGTCTATGCCTTCATGATCATAACCCCGATGCCATACTTGAGTAAGGAACCCAGGTTGCCATATCAGAGTAAGTGGTCAAACAATTCTGGATGGTTTGACACTTTCTAGCCCATGGGCAAACTTTTTTTTTTTTTGCCATTCTGCATACAATTTGTTTTTTTTTCTATATTTATATGCTAGGGAACAAACAGGCACAAAATCAGAGAAAGTTGACGGAGTGTAAAATTTAAATAAAAACCTTGACAGATCTGTGAAAGCAGCATATAGTGTTGTGCTAACAGAGGTAATTAATCTAGAGCAGTGATATGACCTGGAAATAGAAGATAACAATACAACCCAATTGGAATGTAAACAGAGTTTATGTATCAGGAAAGAGCCGATAGAATGTCTCGTGACTGGAATCAAGGTTAGATTAAGTTCCTGTCTATTATGGTTTTATGAGAGTACGGAGTGGCTTATCTTAATATAAACCCATGTTGCTGTATGTATACATACACACCTTGGGTTAGCCATTGCCTAGATACATAATGCAACCACTGTAACTGTATACTATTGCAGGAAGGATGGTCCTAAGAGTTTGAAATGCCTGTACTGTTTAGTGCTTTCCTTTTTATAAAAATTCTTAAAGCCCTCCCTGTGCCTTAAATTGACTAAAATACACTTTAGAAGAACAAAATAAACACAAAGATGGTATTAAAAAAAAATACATAATTGCTAAACTTGTATTTCATGTAAATTACACTTTTCAACTAACTGAATGCACCATGACAAGGTGGTGGAGTGGTAGAACATACAAACTCGACCTTGCTTCCTCTTGTCATCTTAGGGAAGGGGTATTATTTGGGTCAGAGGGATTGTGCACCAGGTTGAATCTCTATCTCAGCCTGTACATAGCTAATTCTGAGGGTCCCCTCCCACCCCTCCAATAACTGTTATCGGTATCGTGATTCGGGGTGTGCACAATGGAGTCAGGAATCACATTCATCATTCAATACTGATACTTATTTTAGGTAAATATACAGGGGGGTGTGGCTAACCGCCGAGCAAGATGGCTGAATGAATCTGTTCTGTGGCTACATAAAAGACAACTTTGGAGACCTTGAATATCTCCTGGGTGACTATAATCTGAAGTTGTTGTCGCAAGGCAAGAGGCACCTGCCCATGGCTGACCAGATAAATTTATTTGGCCCGAAAGCAGCACATTTCGACCCAGCCGCGCTGACTGATTCACAAGATGGTAGAGCCTTCTCAGAAGACCACAACCCTGCATCAAAAAAAGTGCTCTGGTGCAGACAACTCACCACAACATACCTGCAAGAGGCAATGGACTTGCTTTCCTCCAAGCTAATTGTCACATGGTCATATCACATGGAACTCTTCAGGAAATGTGGGGCCTACGAGTACTTCCAGGCTCTGCCTCACCGACTCTGAACCGAATAATTCATCTGGAATGGTCAATGACTAGGAGACGATAGTTCTGTTGAGGCCCTAGCTTACCGCACTGGGCACCCAACAACAACATTGCAATGAAGAGTAGTAATAATAATATGGGGACACCAAAAACATGTTAATGAGAAAAAAAAAGTTTGCAATGCAGAATATGCTATGGTTATAAATCTCCGCAAATGTCACCATAAGAGCCCTAATGCCACCACATTAGGACAATGGTCTTAAACCCCTCCCTCCCCAAGGTGTGTCTGTTCTGCACCAATTCCCTCTACAGGGAGAACATGTACATGTTCTTTATTGCTTGGTTTTCTTTGCTCTATTGTATTGTCTGTTCCTGGTTTTGCACTTTGCCCCTCCCCCTTCTTTCCAAGAGATTATAGACACTCCCCCCCACCCCCCAAAAAAACAATTCTGTGGTCACCACCTAAATCTTCTACCTTTACTACAGACTGTTGATGCAACAGGACTGATCCAGGTGTCCACCGTTAGACACATAGATGGGTATGTGCACCTCCCACCATATGGCAAGTAGGACAGCGCAAAGCACAGGGTTGTCTTAAGCGACTCCATTTTGGAAACCCACATGAGAATCTACTCACATAACGTACAAAGGTTGAACACCCCCCCATAAATGCCGGATGCTCCTACGAGCTGCCACCCAAGCAGAGAGTCAGATATCCTGTGCATCCAGGAAACATATCTTGTCAAACAGAAATTCCCAACATTCGGAACTAAAGACTACCCCATACAGTATCACACAACCCATACGTCTACAGCCAGAGGGGTATCCATCCTTGTTGATAAATCTCTATCCTTTGAATTACTTAAATAGCAAATGCAACTGGGATGAAAGCAACTTCGCCACTGGGTCTAGGAGGGGACTACTGGCCAGCCTTTTACCCTGTGACTATGGCCTCTTTAATTTATTTTGGCTGAGAGACCCTAATTGTGCCTATTGGGACTTTAAACATTGGTTCTTCGAACTCCCTAACAGTCGAAGTGGCCGCCATCTTGTTCGCATGGACTAAAACCGCGAATAGACTTCAGGGGGACTTAGCTGCGAATGCCCTGGAACTATTTTCGGCATGAAAACCTTGCGGTACCTGGTCGGTCCTCCAGCGGCACATAGCCGGGAATCTATGGAACTATTTTGGGCATGAAATCCTAGGTTCGCTTGGGCAAAAATATGACTTCCATAAAATTTCTGAACCCCTGATCTGTTCTGCGTGATTTTTGGATATGCGAAAAGAGAGGATCCCTGAAACACGGGAAACAAATCCCCTCAGAACTAGTACCCCCTCTGGAGCAATATAAATATGTTTGCCCACTACCGTGTATTACACAAAGTGAAAAAATAACAAAGTTTTATTGAAAAATCATTAAAAATCCCATATATAAATTCTATAATACACCAAACTGCTACAGACTAGGAATGAAGGGACATAGAAAGGCACTCTGAAATGCACATATCCAGATAGTGCAGCTCGATACAAAGTTGCTAAAGTTTCAGTAGAGAAGTAGTGAAAAAAGGCTACTTCAGAATACAACAAATTAGCAACAGTATCCAAAAAATTAACACATATGAGTATAGTAAAGGCAGGCTGAGAATACATTCCAGTTCCTTCAGACCAGTCTACAATAAACAGATATACTCTTCACTATTCACTATTAAATATCCATATGTAAACATAGAAATATATGGTCCTAATGATTTACTACGAGTATAAATTAGTATATCTTGGCCATAATGGCTCCATATATCTCTGTCAAAGTTGGTAAATCGAAAGGACAGAAAGATGTCAGTGAAGAGAATGAAAAATAAAGTGAGGAGGCAATAGAAAAAGTTCAATAAGTCAATGACCCTGAACTATAATTCAAGCAGCAAAGGGAGTGCAAGGCTAATTGCCCATACCTTCCTCCCCCCCCCCCCCAACAAAGAAAGAGCCCAATGCGCGTTTCGGCGGTAATGTCCGCCTTTCTCAAGGGCATAGTAGTGTGCAAACACCCTCCCTTCATCCCCTCCCTTATAAACACTTACAATTGGTGCCAAAAAACAACCTCCCGTCATAGGTGGGCTGGGTCTCTATTTCGTTACGCCCAACTAATTTGCTGGTGGGAGGTCCCATATTCATATATGTAAAACAGGACGAAATGCGCATGCGTCAGGGGCCGGCATTCAGCCGGGAAAAAGCGCATGCGCATACATTTCACCAGCATCAATGACCGGCATTTTTTCAGTCTTTTGAGTATTTGATACTCCAACTGGACCTGCCAATTTTAGGATTCTTTTCTTATTTTTGTATTATTGTTTATTCTTTAACTTACCTCTCTTCTGTTCCCTCCATAGTTTTAGTCCCCATTTCCCTTTGTTTCTATTATATTTATTACACTCCCCTTTTTGCTTTTTTAATGTGACCACGGGAGCACTATCTATAATATTGTATTACTTGTTATTTACTCTTAAATTGTGCTGCCCCATATTTAACTTTAGTGTGTAGTCTCGAATGGGAAGTGAAAGGCAACGTAGTGTGATACTTTGTATCCTGCTGCGCGAGGATTTTAACCATACGCATGCGCGTCTTTGGGCTAAACGTCAACTTCGGCGCATGCGGAATAGCCTCTACGGGACGCATGCGCGTTGCCTGTTGCCAACACTGGGGACTTCATTGATGCCGGTGAAATGTATGCACATGCGCTTTTTCCCGGCTGAATGCCGGCACCTGACGCATGCGCATTTCGCCCTGTTTTACATATATGAATATGGGACCTCCCACCGGCAAATTAGTTGGGTGTAACGAAATAGACCTCTTTCTCAGCCAAGCATCTCACAAAAAGAAAACTATTGCGGCCCAACAACTATCACTACTGTGAGTGCTATGAGATGCAGCCACAAAACACTACATAGCACCAACTCAATTACAGGACACAATAGACAAATTGAAGGGACACTATAGTCACCTGAACAACTTTAGCTTAATGAAGCAGTTTTGGTGTATAGAACATGCCCCTGCAGCCTCACTGCTCAATCCTCTGCCATTTAGGACTTAAATCCCTTTGTTTCTGAACCCTAGTCACACCTCCCTGCATGTGAATTGCACAGCCGTCCATAAACACTTCCTGTAAAGAGAGCCCTATTTAGGCTTTCTTAATTGCAAGTTCTGTTTAATTAAGATTTTCTTATCCCCTGCTATGTTAATAGCTTGCTAGACCCTGCAAGAGCCTCCTGTATGTGATTAAAGTTCAATTTAGAGATTGAGATACAATTATTTAAGGTAAATTACATCTGTTTGAAAGTGAAACCAGTTTTTTTTTTCATGCAGGCTCTGTCAATCATAGCCAGGGGAGGTGTGGCTAGGGCTGCATAAACAGAAACAAAGTGATTTAACTCCTAAATGACAGTGAATTGAGCAGTGAAATTGCAGGGGAATGATCTATACACTAAAACTGCTTTATTTAGCTAAAGTAATTTAGGTGACTATAGTGTTCCTTTAACTGCACATGGCGAAAACAGTGAGACTATTGCAGAAATTTAAAATCAGAGAATATGCTCATAGCAATAAGGCTAGCAAACTCCTAGCCTCTAGACTGCACCAACAACAGATATGCTCAAATATACCATATATCCTAAAACCAGATGGCACAAAAATCTATAATCCCCAACACATCACAGAAGATCTAGCACAATACTACACCGCACTATATAACCTTAAGGTTGACAAACACACACATCAACCGACTGACTTTGAAATCTCAGAATTGTTGTCCAGAATTGACCTCCCCACACTTACGGCTGACCAAAAAACACTCTTACAATCTCCGATCACTATAGACGAAATCCTTAAAACCATAGCCGCTTTGCCCCCAGGAAAGTCACCCGGCATTGACGGCTTAACCAATCACTACTATAAAACATTTTTAACCATTCTAGCACCACACTTCTATGTGAACCTGCAAAATCAAATTAAAAATATCTTAATTAGCTGGACCACCAAATACATATCATGGTCAGGCCGCATGGCCGCAGTGAAGATGGTGATACTCCCTAAATATCAATATCTCTTTCAGTACCTCCCACTTAGGATCCCAACCCATTTCTTCACAGAATCGCAACAAGCCATTAATAAAACTATCTGGGTGGACAAAGAGATCATGGCTTTCCGCATCCATCCTCCACCGCCACTTTACCAAGGGAGGGATGAGCCTACCAAACGTAAAACACTACTACATAGCAGCCAACATCAGCCAGTTCGCGACGGTCCAGACCAACAAACACCCCCACAATGGGTGGGCATAGAATCGGTGATAGCGCAAGGGCACCTATTTACGTCCCTGATGTGGCTCCCCATTCGACCAAAAAAGGTACCCATGCTCCCCACAACTACACTAACACTACAGATATGGAATGTGCACAGACATAAATACTGTTCACACGGTTTATACTCCCTGGCAATGCCCATCGTAACCCTTCAATCGTTAATCCCCGATTTCAATGCTAGAATCTGGGAAAGGCATAGCATCTGTTATATCTACCAACTTCTACAAGGAAACATAATCATAGAGTTTCCACACCTCCAGCAGCAATATAACCTTTCCAATGTAGCATATTTTTCTTATATCCAACTGAAAGCGTGTTTTTCCCTGTGTTTACAAATTATTATTATTTATAAAATATTTTACCAGGAAAGATACATTGAGATTTCTCTCGTTTTCAAGTATGTCCTGGGTCCACAAATCATTGCATTGTTACATTAGGTACAACAAAATACAAAAACAATATTAATACACAATATATACAAAATTTAACATAGAACAGGCAGGAAATATATAATCAACCATGACACGTGCATTCTGTTTTGAGGTATGTAGAGAGGGATCTCTTAAAAGACTTTAGGCTTAGGGAAGATTTTAAATTGTGCGGGAGGTCGTTCCACAATTGCGGTGCTCTGTAGGAGAAGGAGGATCGGGCCGCTTTCTTTTTGTAT